CATGCCGCGGAGCGGCTGGGCCCGTGAGCCATGGCCACTGAGCCTGCGTGACCGGAGCCCGTGCTCCGCAACGGGAGAGGCCACAACAGTGAGAGGCCTGCGTACCGCAAAAAAAAAAAAAAAAAAAAAAAAAACAAAAAAAAAAAAAAAAAGTCAAAATCATGAGAGAGAAGGGGGTCCATGTGGAATCTAGTAATTCATAAAATTTACATTAAAAGTAAAACTTTAAAAGATCAAGTGTGAATTAAATAGCAGCAAAGAAATTGTTTTGATAAAGGTAAAGAATTGAGTGGTTATCAATTGGAGGCAATTTTGCCCCACACTTGCTAGGAGACATCTGGGAATATCTGGAGATATTTCCTGTTGTCACGACTGGGTGGGGGGGGGGGCGTTGCTACTCTCATCTCGTGAGTAGAGAACAGGGATGCTGGCAAACATCCTACGATGCACCAGGACAGCACCTCAGAACAGAGAATAATCAGCCTCAAACGTCAATAGAGCCACTGTTGAGGCATCCTGAGCTACACATATAAGACTGTATTTTGCAGGTGGATTATTACCTGAAGTCCACAGCTTCAAGAGGTTCATAAACCCCTGAAAATGTATGCAAAATTTTGAGAGCCTGGTCTGGGAAAAGGTCCACAGTTTTCATCTGATTCTTTAGGGGTCCATGGCCAGAAGAGGCTTAAGAAGCACAGGAAAAACAAAAGTTTTCAGGGGCTGTGGCTGAATAATCTGAAGTGATTATTTCACTCAGAAAACTATTGCACCAGGAGGCGGGAATCTGTTTCCTAGAGCCAAATTATGGTCAACCTTGAAACACAAGCAGAAATGGCTGAACATCAGCCTGAAGTCTCTGTGGAGCTACTGAAAACTGTAAGGAACGTGACGACAGGATGGAAGTTGGGTTGTAATAAGAGTTGCTCCAGAGTGGTTCTACCCCAAGTGCCCAAATTCTCTTCAATCAGGCTACAAAACTTAGTATTCTCCCTTCATGGGTGCTGTCATTCATCCCTCTGTATCCACCAATCCGTGTGAATTTTTCCTTCAAAACTAGCCTTGTCTTCTCTTCTCAGGCTCAACACCCTAGTCTAGGCCCAACTCACCTCATTCTTGAATAACTGCAGACCCCTCCTCCTTGTGAGCCCCTGGCTTATTCATCTTTGCAAACCCAGCACCCACATAACTTTCTGGCACGTGGCAGACATTCAGTAAGGAACACTCTCAGCTGGGGGTGAGAAGAGAGGGTCACAAACTTACCCCATATTACAGTTAAAACAAATTAGAATTCTCTCAATAATCCCATTAAGGGGGGGAGGTGCCTCACCTGTAGAGGTTCCCAATTAGGTCCCGGCAGTTTTGTCGATTGTTTGGAGGTGGGGTTGGATGGTGGTGAAGCAGAAGTGGAGCTTCCCAGCTAGGGCTGGAGTAGATCCCACAAGCCAAGCTCCCAACGGAGAGTTTTCTCTACCCTCCCCCAACCCCAGGAGGGTAATCAGGGATAATCAGCCTGAGGAGGAGGGTCCGTGAGTTTGTCTGAAGTCCACAAAGCAGTCATTAGCTGATTCCAGCCTCATTTCTTTCCAGACTATCCCCAGGCTCTAACTTTCCTTAAATACCAAGTTTCGACCATCACTCTTCACACTGAAACCCTCAATAGGTCCCAAGTCTAAGCCTAAATTGCACAGCTTATCTTTTTAAAAACTGAACATGCCGCACCTACGCACCTGGCTTATTTTTCCAGGAACCTCCCCTTTTCCCACTACCTCCTCCTCTTTCCCACTGTGAAACTTCCACTCTCTTCTCCACCAACCCTGCTCTGTTCCTTACCGAGTTTCTCGCAGTCACACAAACAAGAGATGCTTATTACACCTTACCTCTTACCTTACCGTCTTCCTCCTCTCACTTTTGCCCACAAGACCTCTGTTTTCCATAATCTTCCAACACGGCCATTACAGCTCAGTTTAGAACTGGTTTTGGACACTTTCCATCTCACGTGTGTCAGCTGCCCCAGCACACCCACATTTAAACACGCATCCAGGCACTCCGCACCCAAAAGCAACGGAGGGGCACCCGAACACAGCCCGTCCTGATTACTTGCTGAATTTTAATTTGGATTTCTTGACACTCAAGTCGGTACCGTGACTCCCAAGTATTCTCTAGTTGTTTGCTCTGTATGTTTTGTGGTCCATGCAAGTATTCAAGGCAATGTTTATAAATGGATACAAGGGAGGATAGGGAAAATTACTTTTAAAACCCGCATAATCCAACAATCTCTGTAAAGTGTTTAACACCTAAAAGCCACGAGAAAGTATGTTGGCCCCCCAGAGTGGGCCCTGTACAGTCCCCGCGTTACTGAACGTGCGCACAGCTGAGTCGCTCCAGGTGGAGGTAGTCCGTGTAAAGTAGGCCTCCGGAAAGTCCCGCCCACTCCGCGCCGGGCGCTAAGGCTTGACTCCACCCCCTCCAAGAACTCTGCCCTGTGATTGGCCATGACGCATCCTAGAGCTGCCCAATTGCGTACGAGCAGCTGCTTTCGCGTCTCTTTGTTTGCGGGAGGAACATGGCGGATCGGCTCACGCAGTTGCAGGACGCCGTGAACTCGGTGAGTAATTGCACGCGATTAATCTCCGTCGTCTTCTTTCCCGAGGGAAAGTAAGGCGGACAAAGAGGTCCGAGGGACAAAACTCGGAAGTGGGGAGTGGACTGAGGCCGGGCTTCAGCATCAAGCGCTGGGGTTGGAGGGAGGCGGCGCCGCGGTCTGGAAGGTCTTAGGCCGGCGGCGAGGCGGTGCGGGAGTCAGCGGCCTCTTAGCCTACGAAGTGGAGGATCTCACTCCACTCCGTGACAGGACTGCGTGGACTGTCACGCTTCACGGCCTTATCATGTTCTCTCGGAAAGGTTTTATTTGCTTGTCAGTGGTGCTTATGGGATTGCGCCTCTTTGGCCCGGAGGGGAGAGGAAGCGGAAGCGGAAGCGGAAGCTTTTTTCCCCTTATTAGTCTTAACCCACGGAGGGCAATCCGTGTTCTTAATGATTGGATTTTTGCCATTAGATGTTAGCCGAGAATATTCCTTCGCCAAAATTTTCAAGTTGGGGCGGGAGTGATAGTAAAGTGAAAAGTTTTGTTTCATCTTAGTTGGTTCCTATAGACCAAGGGTTCCATCTCTTGGCCACGCCCCCAGCATGTCAGTTTAGGGAAAACCGACGTCTTTATGATAGTGAATCTTCTGACCTTCGTATATCTTTATTTAAGGTTTTTAAAATGCCTGCCAATAGGTCTACTCCCTATGAAAAGTCAGGTGTTGTGAGTAGACCCCCTTACTTTGATCCTTCTGATTATTTTTCCGGTTATGTCTACGTAGAAAGTATATGCAAACCAAAGAATTCATATACTTATTACCATTAAGAGCGAAATTGTTTACATTTCTGTTATTCTGTATATAATTTGATGTCCCAGGTGAGATGTTGACTGGAAAATCCAAGTACCTAGTCTCTTGCCAGTTTTTTCTTAGCGGAAGCTAATAAGTTGGTATTCTTGTTATTAGTCTTTGTGCACTCGAAGAGTGTGAATCTACTCACAAGAAACTGATCTACTTTGTGTGTGAGGGCCAGCCCCTAAATGTTGATGAATTCACCAAGGTAAATTTTACCTTTGGTGACTTGCCTGGGCTGCCAACCAGTCTCCCTCAGGGAGATACTCCTTTGAGGCTTTACAAAATCAAATTGTAATGATGCAGCTGGATACAAATGTTATTTTAGGGGAAATGTTGTGTGTCCATACATGTCTCATAGCCAGAAGGATAGTAAGGAAAAGTGAATATGGCCCTTAACTCCATGGTAGGCAGGCTGATCATTGGATTTTGGAGAAAAACCTCTAGGTTAACTGGTATGGGTGCCTGGTATCCATGATGGGTGCACCACCATGGTTACAAAGAAATACTCCTTTAGGAGTTTACAGTCTGATTAGGAAGATGTCATATATTCAAGAGACATTTAAATAATGCAAAGGCAGTATGTGATTAGGAGTTGTAATGAATTGAGTGTTTTCAGCTGTAAGTGCTGAAGTAAAGTGAACTGTTGAGTGATATTAATTAAAATAGAGGGAATCTTATTAGCATTTATCTGAATTGTAATTGTGAAATTATTAAAATAAAATTTATTTTACCCACTGAGAACTCCATGAGAGCAGAAACTGTCTTGTTCACTGTATCAGTGTGTTTATACAGTTATATACAATGCATGTCATAGAGTTGATTTTTGATAAATATTTGTTGAATAAATGGATTTTGAGAGCTTCATAAGGACAGAGCAAATAGCCAGTGTGTTGAATATTTGTGTGTGTTTTCTGTCTTCTTCATAACAATGCTATAATGTGAGAATGTTCCCAATTTAAAAATTAAAAGAAACTCGAGTTACCAGAACCAGAATTAGAATCCATGTTTGTACAGCTTCAGAGCACTAACTGCCACTCTATTACCTTTGCAAAATGTGAGCAAAAGCAGTGTAGTCAGGAATGAATTTATCACCAGTCAGGCATATGTGAAGGAGGAGTAGATAATGAACAAGTAGGGTTGACTTAGATTATTGAAAGCTTTGAAATAGCCTGATGACTTGGAGATTTATCTTGAAGACCATGCTGGGGCAAACTCAAAATTTTTGAGCAGAGTAAAATAACATAGAAAATAATAAGAACTAGGAACTTCCCTGGTGGCACAGTGGTTAAGAATTTGCCTGCCAATGCAGGGGACACGGGTTCGATCCCTGGTCTGGGAAGATCCCACATGCTGCGGAGCAGGTAAACCTGTGCGTCACAACCACTGAGCCTGTGCTCTAGAGACGGCGAGCCACAGCTACTGAGCCGTGAGCCAAGTCCCGCCCACTCCGCGCCGGGCGCTAAGGCTTGACTCCACCCCCTCCAAGAACTCTGCCCTGTGATTGGCCATGACGCATCCTAGAGCTGCCCAATTGCGTACGAGCAGCTGCTTTCGCGTCTCTTTGTTTGCGGGAGGAACATGGCGGATCGGCTCACGCAGTTGCAGGACGCCGTGAACTCGGTGAGTAATTGCACGCGATTAATCTCCGTCGTCTTCTTTCCCGAGGGAAAGTAAGGCGGACAAAGAGGTCCGAGGGACAAAACTCGGAAGTGGGGAGTGGACTGAGGCCGGGCTTCAGCATCAAGCGCTGGGGTTGGAGGGAGGCGGCGCCGCGGTCTGGAAGGTCTTAGGCCGGCGGCGAGGCGGTGCGGGAGTCAGCGGCCTCTTAGCCTACGAAGTGGAGGATCTCACTCCACTCCGTGACAGGACTGCGTGGACTGTCACGCTTCACGGCCTTATCATGTTCTCTCGGAAAGGTTTTATTTGCTTGTCAGTGGTGCTTATGGGATTGCGCCTCTTTGGCCCGGAGGGGAGAGGAAGCGGAAGCGGAAGCGGAAGCTTTTTTCCCCTTATTAGTCTTAACCCACGGAGGGCAATCCGTGTTCTTAATGATTGGATTTTTGCCATTAGATGTTAGCCGAGAATATTCCTTCGCCAAAATTTTCAAGTTGGGGCGGGAGTGATAGTAAAGTGAAAAGTTTTGTTTCATCTTAGTTGGTTCCTATAGACCAAGGGTTCCATCTCTTGGCCACGCCCCCAGCATGTCAGTTTAGGGAAAACCGACGTCTTTATGATAGTGAATCTTCTGACCTTCGTATATCTTTATTTAAGGTTTTTAAAATGCCTGCCAATAGGTCTACTCCCTATGAAAAGTCAGGTGTTGTGAGTAGACCCCCTTACTTTGATCCTTCTGATTATTTTTCCGGTTATGTCTACGTAGAAAGTATATGCAAACCAAAGAATTCATATACTTATTACCATTAAGAGCGAAATTGTTTACATTTCTGTTATTCTGTATATAATTTGATGTCCCAGGTGAGATGTTGACTGGAAAATCCAAGTACCTAGTCTCTTGCCAGTTTTTTCTTAGCGGAAGCTAATAAGTTGGTATTCTTGTTATTAGTCTTTGTGCACTCGAAGAGTGTGAATCTACTCACAAGAAACTGATCTACTTTGTGTGTGAGGGCCAGCCCCTAAATGTTGATGAATTCACCAAGGTAAATTTTACCTTTGGTGACTTGCCTGGGCTGCCAACCAGTCTCCCTCAGGGAGATACTCCTTTGAGGCTTTACAAAATCAAATTGTAATGATGCAGCTGGATACAAATGTTATTTTAGGGGAAATGTTGTGTGTCCATACATGTCTCATAGCCAGAAGGATAGTAAGGAAAAGTGAATATGGCCCTTAACTCCATGGTAGGCAGGCTGATCATTGGATTTTGGAGAAAAACCTCTAGGTTAACTGGTATGGGTGCCTGGTATCCATGATGGGTGCACCACCATGGTTACAAAGAAATACTCCTTTAGGAGTTTACAGTCTGATTAGGAAGATGTCATATATTCAAGAGACATTTAAATAATGCAAAGGCAGTATGTGATTAGGAGTTGTAATGAATTGAGTGTTTTCAGCTGTAAGTGCTGAAGTAAAGTGAACTGTTGAGTGATATTAATTAAAATAGAGGGAATCTTATTAGCATTTATCTGAATTGTAATTGTGAAATTATTAAAATAAAATTTATTTTACCCACTGAGAACTCCATGAGAGCAGAAACTGTCTTGTTCACTGTATCAGTGTGTTTATACAGTTATATACAATGCATGTCATAGAGTTGATTTTTGATAAATATTTGTTGAATAAATGGATTTTGAGAGCTTCATAAGGACAGAGCAAATAGCCAGTGTGTTGAATATTTGTGTGTGTTTTCTGTCTTCTTCATAACAATGCTATAATGTGAGAATGTTCCCAATTTAAAAATTAAAAGAAACTCGAGTTACCAGAACCAGAATTAGAATCCATGTTTGTACAGCTTCAGAGCACTAACTGCCACTCTATTACCTTTGCAAAATGTGAGCAAAAGCAGTGTAGTCAGGAATGAATTTATCACCAGTCAGGCATATGTGAAGGAGGAGTAGATAATGAACAAGTAGGGTTGACTTAGATTATTGAAAGCTTTGAAATAGCCTGATGACTTGGAGATTTATCTTGAAGACCATGCTGGGGCAAACTCAAAATTTTTGAGCAGAGTAAAATAACATAGAAAATAATAAGAACTAGGAACTTCCCTGGTGGCACAGTGGTTAAGAATTTGCCTGCCAATGCAGGGGACACGGGTTCGATCCCTGGTCTGGGAAGATCCCACATGCTGCGGAGCAGGTAAACCTGTGCGTCACAACCACTGAGCCTGTGCTCTAGAGACGGCGAGCCACAGCTACTGAGCCGTGAGCCACAACTACTGAAACCCCTGCACCTAGAGCCTATGCTCCGCAACAAGAGAAGCCACCGCAGTGAGAAGCCCGTGCACCGCAACAAAGAGTAGCCCCCGCTCGCCACAACTAGAGAAAGCTGGCTTGCAGCAACAAAGACCCAAAGCAGCCAAAAATAAATAAATAAATAATTTAAAAAAGGAAAATAAGAACTAAAAATTAATAAGGAGTCTGTTGTAAACAATTCTTGTGTGAAGTTGAACTAACAGCAGCAGTGTTGGTAGAAGGAAAAGGGAAAGATTTGTAGTAGTATTAGCAGGATTTGAAGATGAAAGGAAAGTTGAGTCTGAAGTTAGACTGGTTCACTAGGAGATTCTCAATAGAAATTAGATATTAAAGGAAACAGTTGACTTTGAGTTCTGTCATTCAGATAATGGCAGTGAAACTTAGTGGAAATGCTGATTTACTTGATTGGAGATAAGGAATTGAGGTTTGAGAGGTCGGGACTATGGAGAGAAGTTGGTGGGGAGACTAGGAATCTTAGGTTTGGAGATGGTAATGTTATGGAGCCAGGTTTGTTTGCTGGACTTGGAGCAGGCCAAACACTGAGACACCGAGTTTCGCAGCAGAGAAGGGTTTTATTTATTCAGGAGGCAGCAGAGTGAGGAGACAGGAGAACAAATCTTAGATTGCTTCCCAGAAGGCAAGAGGCTTGAGATTTTATGGGATAAAGAAGCAGGGTGTTCTCAGGCCTGGGGAAGGGTGGGTGGAGGTAGGGAAAAGGTTAGGTAATTGGTGGTGTGCACGGGACCAGTTTTAGGGTTGGTGGTCCCACCTATTCTTAGCTGGTCTGAACTGGGCAGGGGCCCACTCCAAATCTTCCAAATTTCTGGAAAACAACTTAAGCCCCTGTTACTACAGTGATGCACGCGTCAGCAGCGTTATCTGCAGGGGTGATAAGAAGTCTGGTGCGTATGGCATGGGCTACGTGAAGCTTGGAGGGTGTGCAATTAGGGAAA